TTAGCATTTCTTCACAGAACAGCCATCACATTGACATGGAACATTATGTACATGGGCGGGGGAATTTGGCAACAGAAAACCCAGTTGGACATATGCTCACCAGGCCAGCAAGGACTTTTCTAATTTAGCACAACACAAATGAAACCTTTAATAACTTTACAATTAAACACATGCATTGCTTCAAGAAAACCTTTAACTATAAGGGTGTAGCCTTCCAGTATCTTGATCTTGACTTCTGACAGTAGAATTCACACAATGTAAAGCCATTCTACAGTATCAAGCAGGAAAGGAATAGACGATCCCAAACCAACAAACGAATCAGCATTAGAATTTATGACTGTCAAATTAACTGACTAATGATCCTGGTCCATCATTTTATTTAGAGCCAAAAATATCCACCTACCAAGAAATTACATCACTTCCATGTCTTCCTGTTCTTGTTGAATTTGCTTAAGGTAATTTTGTGTGTTTTACACTTAATAGAATGTCCGACTTTACAAAACTGCTGAAAATAGCCAAATAATCATGATGTGGAGGTGCCGGTGTTAGACTGGGGCAGACAAGGTCAGAAATCACAACACCAGGTTATAGTCCAACAGGTTTAAGTAAAAAGCTTGTGTTTTCAAATAAACCTGTTGGACTATAACCTGGTGTCATGTGATTTCTGACCTTGGCCAAATAATCGACAGTGAAGGAATTTAATGACGCCTGTTGGACAATCTTGCGTCCCAATGGTAGCATTTCAAAGCAGCATTTCCTACCTTTTCCTCATTTTTGTCAGGTTTCTTATTTGGGAGGCAGACATTTTTTGGCCCAGATCACTGACAGGCTTGGACTGACCCTTGGTCTGGCATTAAATTTCCCAACAGCCCCAGAAAGAGGCCTCGATGTTCACTTGGAGTATGGGTTTCCTGTGCTGAATCACCTGGTCCACACTGTAGACTGAGTAGGGGTTTATTCTACATTGACAAACCTACTGTCAAGCCTGGTCACCAGGGTAAGTAAATGGATTTATTTGATATAAACACAGCTATTGATATGACTGATTGCTATAGGCAAACAAATAGGCATCAGCTTATTTATTAATTAATCAAACTAAAAAGCGGTCATAATAACATGTTCCCAACTCAGCTTTGCACTTGCCTTGTTTTCTATGCTGGTCCACTTGTTTGGACATCAATACTTGCTCTGACTGCAAATAAATCAGGGAGTATATCATTGAAAATTCAAATGAACTCACCCCTCAATGCTGCATCTCCACTGGAGTTGGTGACAACACACAAATTTTCAATGGAATGTACCGAGATCACGAGTTGCTGGGAACACTGATTGGACACAGAGAATTCAATGACAAGGTTCTCAGGACTGAAATAAGCATCAAGGGTAGGAACTATTGATCTGGCACAGACATGCTTCCACTTTGGAGTTTCCTCACCTGATCTCTCTTCAGGTAAGTCTTCAACTACTTCGCCTCACTTCACTAAGGCATCAAGTGACTACATTTGGAAAACCTTTTGAAGACCCTCATGTCTTGCAGTTCAACCTTGCTTCTTGATTGTTCAATCTCACCTCATGGCTCTCCAGATTCATCACAGAAAAACACCATCTACCTTAGACTGGTGTCTCCATCACTGCCATATGTTCTAGCATTTGTAGCATGTTTGAATATGAATGCTTCAGGTCTTCATTCATGGTCAGGCCAGAGTTCTAAGGTATTATTAAACAATGTTTATGAATACACTGCATGTTATGGTAAGGTTACACAGCAGTGTGATCTGTGTTGTACAGGGTCCAACCTCTTAGATGAAGACTAACACATGACTGCTGAGGTCATGATGACAACACTGAACCCTACAGTGAACCCCTCATCCTCATATTTATTAATCCTATTTCCAAAGAACTTATCATGCTGTCATTTAAAATTACATTCCATGACTGATACTTCTTTCAACACCTAAATTGCAATGTCATGGCTCTAGGTATCATATGGATTCTACGTAGCTACAGCCATGTTGCATATTTCTGTTAATGTAAACCTAATTTTATTTTTAACCCAATGTAAATGAGAAATGTAATGAACTTTATGTTTCCTGAACATCGTTTCGAAGAAGTTTGAGTTCTTAAGCCAAAACGTTGACACTCTTTTCACTGTCTGAAGATCCCTATGTGTCTTATTTGAATGTTAGTTATTTGAAACATAAGGACCAGTGATGAAAACATTATAAAATTGAAATACATTTGTTCATGAAACTGCATACCTCTGTGTTTGTGCTTATTTGAGCTGAAAGATTTGTCATATTGCGTACAGGTCATCCCATTATACTTTATTCACTAACAAATGGAAGCAATACTTACTGATTATTATGCTGATATTTTTATTCTTGCGTCTTTTCTAAAGTAAAATTGTGGAAATGTTTCCAAAAGCCACAAGGTTTTGATTTTAATTTCATTGTCACAACAGGTTTATTTTAAAAAATTGTAAAAACAATTTTTCCCAGTTCACAAGAAGGTCGCAACATTTATTTGGTTGGTTTCTGTGCTGTATCATCTTATCACTACTGCAGAGTGAATAGAGTTCATTCTACACTGGCATACCTATCATTAGGTGTGGTCACCTGGGTATAGTAAGTGGATTTATTTGATACCAAAACAGATGTTAATATGACTGGTTTCTATAGGCAAACAAATAGGCAACAATTCATTTACTGGTTCATCAAATTAAAAAAAACAAATTGTCTCACTTGCATCATCCCTGCTCAGTAAGTTCCGTTTCCTGGGATAATTTAAAGTCGCTTCAGATTTGTTCCATGCTAAATAACAATGTCTATGGAGTAGACAATTCTGTCTATAAAAGGAATGTGCCTGTGAGATGACGGCAGGTATTTGTAAATCACTGGACCACTACAAGAGAAAATCACGCTCTGCAATGTCAGGACAAAACAATGTGAATCATGTGGTGCTATTTTAACCAACCACTCATGGAAAGTCAAGAATAAAAGCAGCAACAATAAATGCACAACCTGCCTTTATTTCTCACTACATTACAATTCTTCATTAGTCTTCACAACAGAACAGCAAGGTAAGATTGTTTGTAAGGAACTTACTGTAACTAGTAAGACGAAGCAATTTTTAACCCTGTAAAATGATAACTTTAATTTTTAACCTGTTGTGAATAGGCAATATAATTACTTACAATGTTACATGTAAGATGGTTGTAATTTCATCTTTAAAGTTTGACATGTTTGTAGAATATGCTATTTTTCTCAGCAGTTCCACTATAACACTTAGATTTTTGTTTAGATTTATTTAGAATGTAGCAATGAATAAATGCTGTTATATTAAATAGCTTGCCAATAGAATAAATGATCGCTTCCTCCCATTAAGAAATAATTTACTCCTCCTAAACTACTCAAGCTAATATGTGGGTCTAATTATTAGGCTGTCACAAACTAGAAATTAATTGTTTTTCATTTCATGAATCATGTTTAGGTTAATAGTCTGAGAATTGTAGCGACATTACCTGCTGTATTCGGGCTGAAATAGAATGATAAGCATGAAACACACTTGAGAAGCATTATACATTAAGCTACAAACAATCTCAAACACAAGTACAATGTATGTATGTATGAAAGTAAATAACTGGCTCCTCCTAACCCCTAGAGGCTGAAATTTTGTATATATGGAAAGATTTACAGCCTCAAAGTGAGGGACACAAACTTTCGGAGCGCAGCACCTTTGTCAGGTGCAGTGAGAGGGCAGGACACACAGACACAGAGTTTATAGGCAGAGAGATCAAGGGCAAAGAGATCAAAAGATCGACTTGATTGGGTTCGTGATCAGGAGTCCTTTTGAGATCTTCTTTGTTTTCTTGCATTTCTGCAGAAACTTGATGTCTGTGTCGATATGCACAATCTTCTTGGAGATGTCTCCACTTTGAGCCTCCACTTTGACATCTGACTTTGTCAACCCCAGTCCAACGCTTGCACTTCCACACGGCTACCACCGACACCACAAACCACCGGCTCAAAGTGGAAAAGATCTCCAAGTAGATCACGCATATCGACATAGACATCAAGTTTCAGCAGAAATGCAAGCAAGCAGAGAAAATCCCAAAAGGACAACAGATCACGAATCCACTCAAGTTGATCTTTTGATCTCTCTGCCCTTGATCCCTCTGCCTATAAACTCTGTGTCTGTGTGTCCTGCCCTCTCACTGCACCTGACAAAGGTGCTGCGCTTTGAAAGTTTGTGTGATTCCAAATAAATCTGTTGGACTATAACCTGGTTTTGCGTGATTTCTGACTTTGTCCACCTCAGTCCATTACTGAATCTCCACATTATTATAATGTAGGTTAATCATAGCAGCCAACTGCACACAGCATAATGCCACAAACATTCCTTTTCAGTCGGTGGAAACAGAATCCAGAATACTGGGGAGAACCAAACTATTCTTCAAATTAGGTTGCTTCAACACAAAGGAGCAGGGAGGGCTTCAGTTTAATGCTCTTTCAAAGTGTAGATCATATGGACAATTTTTGGGGTTAGTCTTGATTCCATAATGAACTGTATCAGACCCCTTCTGAAAAATGAGCCAGGTGACCAAAAGAAGGTTTTGTGGAAGGGTCACTGGGCCTGACATGTTAAGTCTGCTTTCTCTCCACAAGTGCTGTCAGACCTGCTGACTTCCAGCAATTTTTGTTATTGTTTTTGACTTCCAGCATCTGCAATTCGTTGTTTCTTTTTCAGGCTACCAAAAACATACTTTATTGAGCATGTTTTAACAAACTCTTAATACATACGCCAATTAAACTATCTGATCACGCTTTACCTGAAGGCAAAACAAAAATAAGTTCAAGCAATTCTCTGCAGTAAAACTCTACAATTGTGCTTACAAAATAGAATGTGAATACAGTACACTAGATCAACATAATTGTGAATATTGGAAGAACATTTTAAAAATTTCTTGAAATAATTTTTTAATAAAACTCTCTTATAGGTCAAAATGTCAGAAGGAAAGTAAGTACTGAAAATCATTAAGTTTTCGAAATTTTGTAAGCAGATTACAATTTGAAATACATGCATTTCAGAAATTGAATTACCATTGTATTTTCTGTCTTTTTTCCCTGTGACGTAGCGATATACAGGTTAGTTTTGGTTTTCTTCTATTTCCTTTCTATGAATATTGCCTTAACAAATAAGGTAGGCACACGATGGTCCTAAATAAGCCTGTAGATAGACTTTACAAACAATTCTAAATATATTCTATAATAACATTTACAGTCTTTTATACTTGTTGAAATGAAAGCAAAGAATGAAAAAATGAGTGAAATTCTGGGGGGCATGTATGGTTGGAAAGGGTCTCCTATTCATCCAAGAACGAGGCTCCTAACCCTATCTTAAAATGCAGTAGTGGGTTCAGCAATGTCTGATCATTTCTTCGGAGTGCCAAACCACATTTGCTCTGCTTGAGATGTCCCAAGGCAATGCCAGGCTGAAGGAAAAGGACACCTACAAATGACAAAAGAAGCAATATTGTTTCTTGTCAACTGGCAATAAGCACCATGTTGTTCTCGATTAGTGAAGGATGAAGGACTATTCTAAATACCAAAGCAGAATTCACACCAGTTGTCTACTGGCAAGATTTCTGCTACAACATTATAAAGACGGATTAATCAAATTCCTGGACAAAAGAAGAAACCGCACTAACCCACATTTGGTGTCAGGGGCTAGTAAGATGGAGAATCACCTCCTCCATTCCTAAGAAAAATGACAATTTGCAAAATCTTGGATCTCTCTCTAAATTCTGGGCATAGGTAAATGATTCACTCATTTTTATTCTTGAATCTCAATGGGATTATAAGTCTTGGGTACTTAACTATTGCTTATACCCAGTGTTGGCACCACTCACTCTTACGTCAGGTGTGATAAGTGTTAGGAGGAAAGTAAAGTTCTTCCTAATATAGAGCATATGTCAATGAAACATCTGGTATAATCAAAATTTGAAATTATTTGGGCAAATCAACCAGTGAGAGAGAAAAATATCAAGTTATAGCTGTCAAATGTCATTTGTATCATCAAAAGGATAAATAAGTTTCCACCAGATACCTAGGTGAAGTGAAATAGACCATATAAACATTCAGTAAATGAGAAAATAATTATAACAGGGGTTATTTAATTTAGTAGTTCCACAGGTTGCTATGAAATCTGCAAGGAACCATAAACTAAAATATCAACATTTACCAGACGTCACTGAAAAAAAAATGAATAACAAAAAAATTCTACTTCTGGTAAATTTTACTTTAAAATTAATTGGAATCGATATAAATTATTGGCAAGGAAATGACACTTCAAATGAAAGGGTGAGTTTTGCATTTTGTAGTTAATGCTAAAATAATGTGTCCTGTAACTACAAGAATTCCCCTTCAGTGTGCATGGTATTACATAGCTACACAGTTCACATGTGTACATTCACACAGTGTATTTCAAGTGTGCTATCTGATAATAACTTGCATTTTTGTAATTCATGGGTATTAACAAAGCTCATATTTACAAACTTTCTCTTCCTTGGGTCATTTCAGTTCTAATGGCATAGGTTTATAGAATTCCTTTTCAACTGACCAACCAATTTTTAAAAATATATATTCATTCATGGGACGTGGGCATTACTGGTTGGCCAGCATTTATTGCCCGTCTGTAGTTGCCCTTGAGAAGGTGGTGGTGAGCTTCCTTCTTGAATCGCTGCAGTCCACCTATAGTGGGTTGACCCACAATGCCATTAGCGAGGGAATTCCAGGATTATGACCAAGCGACAATGAAGGAAAAGGACATATTTTCAAGTCAGGATGATGAGTGGCTTGAAGGGAAACTAGCAAGTGGTGGTGTTCCCATATATCTGCTGTCCTTGTCCTCCTAGATGGAAGTGGTGGTGGAATTGGAAGGTACTGTCTGAAGATCTTTGGTGGATTTCTGTCGTGCATCTTGTATATTCCACACACTGCTGCTACTGAGTGACAATGGTGGAGGAAGTGGATTCTTGTAGATGTAATGCCAATCAAGCAAGCTGGATTGTGGATGGTGTCAATCTTCTTGACTGTTCTTGGAGCTGCACTCATTCAGACAAGTGGGGAGTATTCCATCACACTCCTGACTTGTGCCTTATAGATGATGTGCAGGCTTTGGGAAGTCAGGAGGTGAGTTACTTGCCAGAGTATTCCTACCCTCTAACCTGCTGTTGTATCCACTGTGTTCATGTGGTGAATCTGGTTGAGTCTCTGGTCAATAATAACCCCAAGAATGTTGATAGTGGGGGATTCGATAATGGTAACACCATTGAATGTCAAGGGCCACTTGTCAGTCCAAGCCTAGATATTGTCAAGATCTTGTTGCATTTGAAGATGGGTTGCTACAGAATCTGAGGAGTCACAGTGCTGAACATTGTGCAATCATATGCTAACATCACCACTTCTGACCTTATGATGGAGAGAAGATCATTGATGAAGCAGTTGAAGATGGTTGGACCTGGACACTGAGGAATTCCTGCAGAGATGTCCTGGAGCTGAGCTGACTGACCTCCAACAACCATGACCATCTTCTTATGTGCTAGGTATGACTTCAACCAGTGGAGAGTTTGCCACCTGTTTTCCATGATTCCAAGAGTTCCTTGATGCCATACTCAGTCAAATGCAGCCTTAATATCAAGGGGGATAACAAGAACTGCAGATGGTGGAGTCAGAGACAACATAGTATGGAGCTGGAGGAACACAGCAGGGTCCCGACCTGAAACATCAAGTTTACTGCTCCTCTGATGCTGCCTAGCCTGCTGTGTTCCTCCAGCTCCATACTGTATTGTCTCTTGATATCAAGGGGTGTCACTCTCACCTCATCTCTGCAATTCAGCTCTTTTGTCCATATTTGAACCAAGGTTGTAATGAGGTCAGGAACTGAGTGGTCCTGGCAGAACTCAAACTCGGTGTCACTGAGGAGGTTATTGCTGAATAGGTGCTGCTTGATTACACTGATGATGACATCTTCAGTTACTTTGCTGATGATCAAGAGTAGACTGATGGGGCAGATTTGTCCTGCTTTTTGTGTACAGGATATATTCGGGCAATGTTCCTCATTGTCAGGCAGATGCCAGTGATATAACTGTGCTGGAAGAGCTTGGTTATGGGGGTGGCAAGTTCTGGAGCACAATTATTCAGTTCTATTGCAAGAACATTGTCTTTCCACCATCCAGAACTTTCAACTGTTTCTCGAGGTCATGTGGAGTGAATCAAATTGGCCGAAGACTGGTATCTATGATGCTGGGAACCGCCAGGGGAGGCTGAGACAGATCATTCATTCAGCATTTCTGGTTGAAGATTGCTGCGAATGCTTCAGCCATATCTTTTTCATTGATGTGCTGGGTTCTTCCATTGTTGAGGATGGGGATATTTGTGGAGCTTCCTCCTCCAGTGAGCTGTTTAATTTTCCATCACCATTCATGACTGGATGTGGCAGGATCGTAGAGCTTAGATCTGATCCATTGGTTGTGGGATCACTTAGCTTTGCCTATGACTTACTGCTTATGCTGTTTGGCACACAAGTAGTCCTGTTTGGCAGCTTCACAGGTTCATTCCTCATTTTTAAGCATTCCTGCACTTACCATTGAACCAGGGTTAATCCCCTGGCTTGATGGTAATGATTGAGTAGAGGATATGCCAGACCATGAAGTTGCAGATTATGCTGGAGTGCAATTCTGCTGCTGTTGATGACCTACTGCACCTCATAGATGTCCTGTCTTCAGTTGCTAGATCTGTTTGAAGTCTGTCCCATTTTGTAGTGATACTGCCACACAACATAATGGAGGGTATTCTCAATGTGAAGACAGGACTTGGTCTCCAAAACGACTGTACGGTAGTGACTCTTACTGATACGGTCATGGACAGATGCATCTGTAGCTGGCAGATTGGTAAGAATGAGGTCAAGTATGTTTTTCCCTCTTGTTGGCTCCCTCTCCACCTGTTGCAGACCCAGTCTAGCAGCTATATCCTTCAGGACCCAATCAGCTTGGTCAGAAATACTGCTGCCAAGCCAATCTTGGTGGTGGACATTGAGATCCCCCACCCAGAGTACATTTTGCACCCTTGTCATTCTCAGTGATTCCTCCAAGTGTTGTTCAACATACACAGTACTGATTCATCAGCTGAGAGTACGTGATAATCTGCAGGAAGTCCTCTTGCCCATGTATAACCTGAAGCCATGAAACTTCATGGGGTCCAGAGTCAATGTTGAGGACTCCCAGCGCGACTCCCTCATGACTGTATCCAACTGTGCGGACATCTCTCTTGGATCTGTCCTGTCAGTAGGACAGGACATATCCAGGTTGGGGATGGTGGTGTCTGGGACATTTTGTGTAAGGTATTAATACATAAGCATGACTTTGTCAGGCTGTTACTTGACTAGTCTATGACACAGCTGTCCCAGTTTTGGCACTTGCCCACATATGTTAATAAGGAGATCTTTGCGAGGTCAACAGGTCAGATTCTGCCGTTGCCTTTTCCGTGCCTAGGTCGATGCTAGATGGCCTGTCCAGTTCATTTGTTTGATGAGATTTTTAGCAATTTAGGCCATTTCAGAATGCAGTTGACAGTCAACCATGGGTCTGGAGTCACAGCTAGGCCAGACCAGGTGAGGATGGCAGAATTCCCTTCCCTGAAGCACATTACTGAGCTGGATTTTTTTAAATTCATTCATGAGGGCATTGCTAGCTAGGCCAGGATTTATTGTTCATCACTAATTACCCAGAGGGCAGATGAGAATCAACTACATTGTTGAGTGTTTGGAGTCACATATAAGCCAGACTATGTAAGGATGGCAGTTTCCTTTCCTAAAAGACATTAGTGAGCCAGATGGGTTTTCTGGACAATCAATAATGGATTCACAGCCATCATGAGACACTTAATTCCAGATTTTTATTGAAATCAAAATCCACCATTTTTCTAATAATCAGCAATGGTTTCATGGTCATCGGTACATTCTTAATATCAGATTTTTTAAAATTAAATTCAAATTCCATCATCTGCCATGGTGGGATTTGAATCTGGTTCCCCAGATCATTAGCTGAGCTTTTGGATTGGCAATACAATTAGGCCATCGCCTCCCCAATAATATTTGGTTCATGGCTTTGCTACTTCTGGCAAAAATACTTGGCTCTTTGGTGTCTCCAAGCTATCCAGCCTTCCAGGTTTTAGACCTTTTAGCACATTCACATGGTGCTTCTGCATCTGTATGTTGATTATCAGCCACACAACTTTGATATGTTAATTGCTTTTGCAGTTGGCATTGCTTCCAGCTCAAATGTTCTGATGTCTCATGGTCAAATAAATCTTACTATTCAGGAAAATGACAATTGAGCACGTTACAACTGATATAAATTTTTAAACGTCCTTTCCAAAAATTCTTAAAAAGAATTACAAATTCCACAAACATTTTAAAGAAACTGTTTTTTTGACTGGTCTGTTTCTCAATCAAATGTTGCCATAAGTTTATTTTCAAAGTAGTGGATAAAATTATGTGAAAGTTAGAAGCCAGTTTGTCTAATATGAGTGATGGGGAAATGTTTAGAGAAATTGTATATAGTGTATCTATCTTAATCTAAAGAGCAGAGAGATTATCAGGCGATGTAGAAGAGACAGGCCGGACCTTACAAAATGACTCAAATCTTTTGAATAAGTAACTAAGTATATGGATGACACCTATCCAGTGTTCAAATATACAATGACATTTTACAAAATTCTCACAGTGACACTTGAAAGAAGTGAGCAATAATAGCAAGAATTGATATTATTGTAACATAAATATTGCAGCAATCATTTTGTACACAACAAAACCCACTTACAGCCATGTAATGTATAACTAAATAAATTGTTTTAGATGTTGGCTAAAGAATAAGTGATGGCCAGGATACTGTAGATATCTTCGTTGAGCCAAATTATGCAGCTGGATTGAAAATGGGCTTTGAAATAGAAAGCAGAAGATGATGATCATTTGGAAAAGTTCTGCAAGAGAGCATAGTATTTCAAAGAGTTTGTTCTGGATCTTCACTCCATTTTAAACATAGACGTTATGGCAAATGGCAGTGAAATAATAAAATCTCCTCACCACAACGTGCTAGGCTTAGATTTCTTCCAATTTACAGTTAAAACACAGAACAAATATCTCTATTGATAGAATGACTGGTGTCAAGAAAATTAAGAAGTGCCAAGAATAGCAGATTTTAATATGAATAAATGTAACGTAATGGCCATTTGAATAGGAACCACTCAACATTGGCTGACTGAGGAGTAAAACCAATGCCATACTTGCACGAACATTTTCATTCTGGTTAGCTGCCAGATAACAATGTATTAAATTGGCTGTGATTAGAAAAAGCTGAAGAGAAAATGGATTTGGTGAGTGACGATAGACCGGAAATGAAATTACTCAGCCAACATGAAACTAATATTAGCAAAGAACACCAAGAACATGGATATGTCTCAAAGAAATGTAACAAAAAGTCAGAACAAGTATTCAAACTTTGTATCGATCATTGGTGACTATTGGAGGGGTGGAATTGTGCTAGCAGTAATTTTTGTCCTGATTTGTCCCAAGAACATTGATACATTAGACACCGTGAGAATAACTGAATAGAGATACAATATGGCGTGGGGATGTAGGGGTGGGCTATGAACATAGCCACAACAGGGGTGGCTATCCAATGCTCAGGGAGAGGGCAGTGCCCAGTTCAAAGGACACATAAGGCTTCTTGCTTCCCAACCCACTCCCTGACCAATGAGAAAGTTTGCAAATTAATTTTGAACTCATCTTCTGGGGCTTGTCTGAGCCAGGCTTGCTTGGGACATAACATGATGATGCTTCTTCTCCCAATCAGCTAATCGGGCCTCTGCTTAGTACTATGGATTGGATGATATTGTCAGACCTTATCATTATATTTAAATCAGGACTCCTATTCACTTCCTGTTCATCCACTCAACACAGTGGATTAAATATAGGGACATGGCAGGAACAAAACTGCATTGGTGGGGTCACTAACATTCAAATTTAACTGCCCTTTCACCAGATTCTACCAGGTGAGGGCTGTTAAACCCAGGGCCCATGACACTGGTCAGAATTATCTACTAGATGTGGGGTTATTTAAATGATAGTCTAGAGATTTATCTTGAATGTTACGCAGACACTTCTAATGAATTTCAAGCGTGGTTTTTGTAACTTCCTTCGGAGCTGATGATAGAATATACTGCCTGTGAAATAAATAGATTTAATCATCAAATGACCTCTATGTCTCATGTTCCTCAGCTAGGAACCAGTACAAATGTATATTCTCCAAGAGTAGCCATTTTGTTAGCTACTCTGATTGAGATTATCAACGTATCCCTAATTTATTTTGGCAGGACTTTTCAGAACATCAAAATACCCTGAAACACTTTACAGCCAATTAATTAGTTGCTTAAAGTATCGTCATTACTGTAGTGTAAACAATACAGTGCCAATTTCAATGTAGCAAGGTCCCACCAACATAAAATTGATAATGACCAGATCATCTGTTTTCATGAAGTTGGTTCAGAAATAAATATTGGTCAGAACACCAGAGAGAAATCTACTATCCTTTCTAAGAAAACTGTGGAATCTCTTATATCCAGGCAAAAAGACAGATATTTTGCATCCACTGCAAAAGATGTCACCTCTGACAATGTTGCAGGCCCTCATTACTGCACTGCAGCACCAGCCTGAATTTCAGGCTCAAGTTTTAGAGTGAAGCATGAACACACAACATCCTGATTCAAAGGCAAGAAAGCATGTTACCACTGAACCTGAGATGATACCAGTTGGAGAACCCATGCCTTTGAAAACGTTTTCACTACATTCTCCGTGGTTTTGTATCAACAGAAACTGAGTTCTTACTGTGCAGTTATTTCACAAAAAGTAGCATAGACCAGGCATTTTTGTCCCTTCACTCTCGACTGCATTTATTGCACAAAGTGTCACCCAATCCCACTGAATGTTTATGGAGAAATTTATTGCCACATGGGGTATGACTAGTGCATATTAGAAAAATCACATGTACTCAGTTAGAGTTTACTGTCTATGTTATGGAAAATTATTGCTTGCAGGTGCAAAATTTTTCATTCAAGTACTCAGAAGACAATGTTTTGCGATAAAAACTCCATGTAGAAATTAAACTATAGTAATTTTGATTTAGTGCCTTTGAATATATTTGAAGGTGGGATAATCAATCCATCAATGACATTTCTATCAATGAGTATGACAGCATCTTTTCTCCAAAAACTTGCACATTCTGAATGTAATTGCACTGTGGCCCTGTAATTTATACTGCTGTTTACAGACTCGGCAGCTTGCCATCAGTTTTAGTTTTGATTTATTTATTGAAGCTATCTTGTTTCAGTGTGCTTAAATAATTATTCATTTTGTATCGTAAAAGCCAAGAAAAGCCAAAGTTCCGATTGCACGCAGAATCCAACTTAAGGTAAGAATTTGATGCATTTGCTGCAATTCCACAACTTAAAGACATTCTATTTAACAAAGAAATAGATACCTCCACCAAGAATAATACATCCTAACATTCATCTGAATTCCTGGCATGACAGGCATTGCACCAGTCAGTTGGTATTTAAGTTGTAGCAATACTTAATGTTGACGATAAAAATTCCAGAAGCTTTTATTTCCAGTGTTACCACATGAGGTAACTTCAATGTTGGTGTACATGAATTACCACTATATCAGTTAATCTAACTGTAAATCAGTCACCTTGCAGGCGATGGATGAAAGCCAGTTTAGATTATTGTTCCACTAGCAGATGAAAGACACAGTAATAGAGCTTATACAGTTTATTTACACACAATGAACCCATTCCTATGAATATCTTCCTGTACTCCTGGAGCTTATGAGTCCAACATAGCAATTTTGAAAATTAGAGAAAGCAGACCAACATCTTCAACAAGGTTGATATAACATAACAACAAATGCAAAATTGGGATGATAAACAACAGTTTTTTGGGTGCTATGGGTGCCATTTGGGGCCAAAACGTCATGCATGCACACTTTCTTGGTGACTCATGCAACATTCATAAGGGTGATGAGGTCCACAATGAATAATAATCAGAACCATGCACAGCAGGCAGTTCAAGACATCAATCAGCTTGCAATGCTGTTACAATGACATACTGCCATTTCCGAGATCAATACTTGAGCTAACACCCTCTCTTAAACCCACGCAGTTGAATGTGCATTCAGCAGAGGATGGATTTCCCCTACCAGTGCTACGTGAAGAGATCAGCGACACCTTGTAAATTGCTCGGCATGTTATTTTTTGGGAGCTGTTGTTTCAATGCTGCAAGTGTTTGATGTTTACTGTAGCTGTTTAATGCTGAAATGTCTATGCGGGTGGAGTGGTAAATGTTGAAGAACATTTTGCAGAGATAATGGCTTCTGGAAAAAAATAAATTGCTCCCAGAACTAGGTGCAGTAGTAGCCACTAACTCGGAATACATCAAACTTGGACAAGAGAGAGAACAACAGTCATACAGAACAGGAACAATTATTGGAAGAGGGAAGTAAAGGAAGGGAGAAGACATCTCAGCAGGAGGCCATATTTGCCCAGAGAGTTCAGCAACTGATTCTCTTAGCTGAACCTTTGTAAAAAACAGTGGGACAGATGGTATCCTCATAGGATTTTGCCACTTGATGCTTCCACAACTGCAACATCAAAGCAGACTCGAGGACATCACTGTCAGTAACTATGAAGGCGACCATGGTCATGAACTTTCGTTCACAGACATTTTTCAGACTGGTGTTGAAGACTTTTGCAAAATCGTGTAATTTATTATATATTAGTCGGAAGGTACTACTCTAGGTGGGGGTAGAGAAACGAAGAGATCTCAGAGTACAAATACACCAATCAATAAACATTCCACCACACAAGTTAGCTATGCTAAAAAATAAAGCAAACCGAACACTAAGTTCACTTTTAATGGTGATAAAACTGTAAAGTATGGAAATGATGCTAGACTTGGATCACACACCATCTGGATTGGGAGGGAGTAGAATCATTTTAGTCTGCCATATATCTCAGGATTGACATAAGGTAGCCGGAAAGTGAAACACAGCATCCTGCACCGCAGGAATCATAAAATTCTCACAAAGTTGGGCTTTGGCTGCTGATCCAAGACAAGAAAGAGTTAAATGCATTGAATTTTTTTTTAAATAAACAGCCTTAGTCCCCTACACAAACAGTGGATGGCAAACTGTGGGCTGTTGCAAATCTTGTCAGCTCCAGCTTTGAAGCCAACACAATCAATAGTTCATCACCAGTCACCTTCACAATGACTGGAAATACTATCCTTGCCCAGTTCTAAGGCGCCAGATTTCAGCAAGTGTTTTCTTATTGAGTGCAGGCAACTGCCCAAACATGACTGTTCAAGTTCAGATTGTGATTGTTTTTTCCCTTGCTGACTATGATCTCCTCCTTAGAATCTCTCTGTTCCTCCATTTCCTTGTATGAAATCCTTGAACTCAAGGAAAAGTTCTTCGATATCTTTCACACTGCTCCTTGCGGACTTTATAAACTATAAAGAAATTTTGCAACACTTTTAGAATTGCAGAAACCACCAGTAGAAAACAATCAGCAACTAACCTGGAACTGGTTGATGATCCCTCTGAATAGCTGTTGTAAGTGTGTTCAACTTTATAAGGTTATGGAGGATGTTAGCTGGAGTTTTGAGCTTCAAAATAGCAATGCTGGCATAAAATGAGCATCAGATACAGACGTCACAATTGGCTTATCCTACATTCCTCTGGCAGATGGTCTCTGCACGTGCATACATGTGATCACTAAAATGCTGTTTGGCTCAAGTTACTTGAGAAGTATATATGAGTGCCATGGATGCCATTTTGAAACTAAAATAGCACTCATAGATTTGAATAAACAAAGTCTAAAAGATTGAAGTTTGTGCTTCTGTACTTCAAGCTGTAGATTTCTCAACATTCATTCATTAGTACTGGAGAAAAAGAACCATGAGTATATGAAAACCCAAAGTAGGTATCCACAGGTAGAAGGAACACACTTAGTGAAATATCTTACAGGGATTCAATGATGAGGTCAATTGAAAAAAACAATCTTTCTTAATTCGTACAGGACCGGCCATATAAATGCTATTGCTTTTGGAGCAAGTCAGAGACTAGGAATCCTGCAACAAGTAACTCACCTCCTGACTCCCCAAAGCCTATCTACTATCTACAAAGTACAAGGGGCATGATGGAATATTCCCACTTGCCTGGATGAGTTCGGCCTCCAACAAGAAGCTGAAGAAGTTTGACACTGTCCAGGTCAAAGTAGCCTACTTGATTGGCACCACATTTACAAACATTCGTTCCCTCCATCACCGATGCTCAGTAGCAGCAGTGTGTACCATCTACATGAAGCACTGTAGAAAATCACCAAAGCTTATTAGCACTGTCCAAACCCACAATTACTGCCATCTAGAAGGACAAGAGCAGCAGATACGTGAGAACACCATAAATTTCATGTTATCTGAGCCACTCCCCATCCAGAGTTGGAAATATATTGCTATTCCTTCACTGTCACTTGGTAAAAATCTTGGAACTCCTTCCCTAAAATCATTGTGCTCCTACTTATGGCACACTGACCACAGTTGTTCAAGAAGGCAGCTCACCACAGCTCGGACAATTTAGTATGGCCAACCCATCTAACCTGCATATCTTTGAACTGTGGGAGGAAACCCACACAGGCACAGGGAGAATGTGCAAACTCCACACAGCCAGTTGCCCGAGGCTGGAACTGAACCCGGGTCCCTGGTGCTGTGAGGTAGCAGTGCTAACCACTGAGCCACCATGCCACCATAATATAATATTACAGAAAGTAGATCATTGAATTTAAAGTAATGAGCAAACATTGGGATATTCAGATTGTTCAAAAGACCACTGTCACAAACACAATCATCTCAAAATGATACTCCAATATGTAACAATTCACAGAGGTACTCCATTCTCTTTCATCAATTCAAAAATACACTGCGTCCCATTGAAATTTCTGTACTTTCACCAGAAACACTAAACTTAAACTTTCCCAGTTCTTCTTCCCATCCAATTTGTTTAAATCCAGTTGTCTCCTTCCACTTCCCTCGTTAATCTGGTACTATCCTTGGCACAAGTGTTATGCTGGTTAGCATTGTCCTGTATCAGTTACTGTAGAAAGGCAATCTCCCTTCCAACTCCCACTGAATTAATGCTGCTACTCTTCTTCTGCTCTCAATTTACATTCACTGTCCAAGTGGATTTAAAATTAAACCCTGTGGAATCTCTTGCCATTCTGATATTGCCTGGCTATGGACGTTTAATGTCAAGAAGCTTGACTTGTTCACCCAACTCATGGACACCTTATGAAAATATGAATATTGGTGGGCTCACTGATCCAGTATGAGGCCAGGACAATTTTAATAGTCCACACTGACTGGAGAATCTGCTACGGACAGATTGACCAGTAAAATCTGTTGGACTATAAGTGGAAACTTCAAGAGAATAGTACGAAACATATCTTTGTGGGGCCAAGGCAAGCATTGCGCATCACTCATCCTGAGTTTTGCTCACATTTCCATATTTCTAACAGCAGCCTTGCAGTTGCCTCTTTATATATCCTTTTCTGAGAGTGTAGGCATCTGGTCAGAATTGGTACTGAAACCAGTTATAATAGATCTGGCTTCTGAGGTTGACCCCTGGCTTTTCCCTAATTTCCACTGAGAGTTACAATCTTCACTCAAGTTTCTTCCTTCTCCCTCCTCAAAGATACTAACTTCTGTTTCATTCTTTCTTCCCTTTGATATTACCCATTTCTGCTTTGCCCCCATTGCCATCTCTTTACCTCCCACTTCTATGTATTTTATTGCTCCTGCTTTTCCCCTTCATTTTCCCCAGAATATTTCCTTTCACTGCCATCCAATCTCTGTCCTTCATTATTAACCATTGCTCCATTATTTTAATCAAACTCCTTTTTAGTGCCACCCTTCCCTACTCTTTTGTCTCAATTTCCTCTTCCAAGTCTCATCTATTTGTCCCTTATTTTGCATTCTCGCCCCTTCTTCCATTCAGATGCATCTGTCTCACTCTATTTGTCATAAATTTTTCATTCACCTTTTCCCACGCTACACTCTCTAATGCCTCTCTTTATTATCCTTCACCAATGCTCCTCCTCTCCTTGTCATATCCCCTTCTCCTGGTATCCATGCCCCTCCATCCACACCTACAAAATCCTAATGGTAACAGTAACATAGCCCCACTGATAATGACTAAGTTGCTATCTCTAGAAATTGGAGACAGCACTTCCCATTTACACCAGAGATGGTAATTTTCAGGATACAATGCATTTTTGCTGTTCATGCCAATTATGTTAAAGTTCATAATTTGAAAGTAATTGGATCTGCCTCAAAATTGGCTGAGTTGGTGATTTTCATTTATTAGAGATTTTGCATACAAGTATTAATGCTTCTAAAAGTAGTTTTAATGGCTAACATGCAATTTACTGGCTAGTGGTAAATCAGGCAAATAATTTTAAGGGATCAAGTTACCTAAAGAAGACAAAACCCTACTGTTTGAAATTGGTACTTAAAATGAGTATGTAAAGTTTTGGGATTGCTGAAGTTTTCTCAACATATTCAATTGTATTTTATGTGTAGAGATTGATGCTTGAAATTGCATGCAAGCAACTGGAAAAAGAGAAGAGTGAGCGAGATACTGAGAAAAGTCGAATGCTTAATGAGTGTGTGCCACAATTTAACATGTCAAGTCTTTCAATTCAGGAACTTCAGGTAAACTGGATTGTTTGGAATTAATAACAATGTAAAAATGTTGAATAATATTGAAATCTTCAGGAGTCAGTCAGTTCCTCTGTAATTATGTGAGATTAAACAGTTTGAATGTAGCATGCGGCTCAGCAATTACTGAATACAGAAACCTTAAACTTTTTTTTCACCAATACAGTTAATTTAACACCAGCCCAATCTTCTGTAGCTATGGCCATTAGATATTACAAGTATCAACTTTAAACTAGATCAATGCATTATTATGATCCCAGCTATTATTATTGAACAAGTTTGATCCTGGGCTGAAAGATCATTTTTAATATTGGTTTTCATGAGGTAGTATCTCGTTGAAACATGAGCACAGATATTACAGATTTGGTTTTCAGCAAGTTATTTCACAAGAGAAATGGCGATAAAATAGAATAAATAAAAATATTAATGTAAAAAGCAAATTAAATCTTTCAAAATACATGGCAAGAATATAATCCAATCAATCCTGAAACCATTTTGCAGATCCCAAAAACACTACTTTACAGGTTCCAAAATGCTTCTTCAAAAATCTCCAAAACACCTGCAGAGTACTCACCTCAGAGAAAATCTCTGTCTATCACTCTATAGGCTTAATTTAACTGTGACTTCCAACTCCCTGTCTGGAGAATCTACATCATTTTCAGTTTCAAAGAACCCCTTCTTATCTGGTGCTGTTATTGAACTCTTCATTGTGAGGTAATTTTTTTAAACAAATCTATCTTCTTCCTTTCTTAGGAGCAACTGCTTTATGAATCCATCCTCAGCTAAGAACCCTGCAGAACTGCCCAACCTGAAACTAAATTTGAATGCTTTCTCTGCAAGCTATGGGTGTTGCACTCTAATCCTAAAAAAAAGTCTAGAACTTGCCATCAGAAAACATAATATGCCACAATACTCTCTCATAAACTCTTCCAATATAAACAAAACTCCATTAGTTCTTGGGGGCTATCTCTCTTAAACTACTTTAAAAGGAGTCACCATGGCTACAGAACTCTTTATAAGTTAATAATCAAACCACTCAGAAACACAGAAAGTCTATATCCTCCAATTTAAATTCAAAAATTGATGCTCAAAAATAAATTATATTCATATATAAATCACTTATCCTACATTGCAGTATTTAAATGTCCTTCGATTGAGCTGTTGAATGCTACAAATCTTGTGCAGCCTGCCCTGGTTTCTTTAATTTATCTCCTGAGAAGTGTAGTGACAATCCATGCATATTCCCTATCCTGAGAGACAGTATCAACAACTCAATTCCTACTACTCTCCCACCTTCCCACCCCATCCCCACCCCCAGATTGTGTGCAGCATCTTTTTAGCTACTGATATGCAGGAAAATTGATTTAATGATAACAACAGGATTAGTAAAATCCAGTGAAATATTTATCTGTATCCCAACTACATTTATTGGGATGTGGAAGGAGATAGCCCTCTCCAATCTGCCACCAATTTGTACAGTGTCAGTATGAGTATTCAAAGAGGAAGCATAAACTGCCTTTAGGACCACCATAGCTACTTGGTCATACCACATATTCCATGGTGGAATTTGGTATTAAGATCCTATCCATCAGAGGACCTCTGTTGCAGAGATTGAAAATTAGCTTCCAGCACCTACACACCTGATTTTTTTGCAAGAAAGATAGGATCCATAAGATCTTCAATCTCTTCAGCTGAAGAATGACATCTTCTAACCTCTGAACAGCAGTGATTTCCTCCTCATGTTCCACTCACAGTTGCCATTTATTTTGATAAACTCACCTCTGTTTCATTTGTCTAATGTACCTTTACTTCTCCTGGCCATTGTTTTTGGGTTGTAACTTTAGAGGGAAATAGTGATGGAGTGTGGGCAGCCTCCTCAGCTTTTGCTTCCACAGGTACATCTGGAAGAAGCGGATGGGAGAGCCTACAAATGGTTGCTAAGGAGAAGGACTCGCATGTTATTTTCAATAGAACTAGATTGCAAATATCTATATGCCACCCTATACAATCAAAGCAGAAATCAAACAAAACGGCATGAGGAAATTGCAGTTGGCATCTACCTTTTTATTTTCCTTTCCTCAATTCTGTGAATGGCTTCCCAGCCCAAAATTACCCATGTTTCCTCTCATATGGGATTAAAGGATAAAGCTCAGGGCAGTTACCAGCTACCTATCTCTGCTTTTAAGGAATGATCCCAGATGATGGTAGTACTGGACCAGTCAGATCGCAGAACTCAAACCTAGTTTGATAGATCATATGATTAATCTTCCAGTTTGTTACTGTGTTGGATAGTCACTGAAATATATGTACATGAGGCTGCTAATGTTGCTTAACAACAAAACATTAGTTTATTCTATAAAAGAGAAAAAACAAGGTTATATCTAGATACAAGACAGTTAGAAAGATCCTAACACAAATAGAAAAACAAAGTTTTAACCTGTTTCCCAACATGAAAAAGTTAAAGTCACCATAGTCCTACCAAGCCATAGGCTGCTCTCCCAACACTATACTTGTACAGATATTCAATTTCAGAGAACTATCACTCTAATCTCTTTAATTATTAAACTGACTCTTCCTATAGAATGCTGAGACAGTTTTGCAATACCTTTTAGAGTCTGCTGTCATGAACCTTTCACAAATCTGATGGCCTAAACATTATAACCCCAAGCAATTTGAAAACTTTGTCCAAGCTCTCCCAAGTGTGGACACTCCACTTTGGTTAGTGTGAACACTCCACTTTGGTTAGTGTGACTGACTCCCTTGATCTAAGATCTGATTCTCCTGCGAGGAGAGAGCTGATCTCTCTCCCAAACTGAAGTCACCATTCTTCTGATCTAAAGAAAAATAGTTAACTTAATAGCCCACTAGTCTGTTTGAAAAACTCAGCATATTAATCATTTCATCCATTAACATTGCAAGTATCCCGTCAGGCATATGGCTGAACTCACATGCCTTCTTGAAAATGATGTATTTAGGTCACTGTTCAAAATTATTCACTGAACTTCTAAAAATAAACTTCACAGAAACTTCTATCTGACTCTATTTTAAAATCCGAATCCTAAATGATAATATATTTGTGCACTATATAGCTTTAATCTTACTTCTCAATAAAAAAGAATTTGAAGATGACCTCTAATTGCCATGAGCTGTAATAAATCCCTGGTTCCAGTATCCAGGTTGTAATCAGTATGATATGTGCTGTATTTTTTGGTGGAGGGGAAGGACACAGAAGTGAGTGAGTGAAGAACACTTGCAAGTAAAAGCAGGGGCTATATAGTCCTCCTCTAAATTTGTGGGCATGGATGTTAAATTGTTGAGAGGACTTAGCATTGTGGGAGCAAAACACATTAACATGAGTTCTTGGAGGGTCTTACTTTGCCAGAACAAATAATGCCATTAGCTTTTAACAGCATTACATGCGGTCATCAAGATGGCACTGGATATCCTGGCTACTCTATGTCACTGCTGCTATCCCGTTTCCCTTGTAGCATGATTTTGCAGAGTTCCTTCCTCCCTCCCTCTCCTGGCTGACTTAGAGAAAAGCACTTCCATTTAAAGTCATGCTTCCTGCAGACCATACCAACGCAGGAAACCATTTACAGTTATTAAAAATCCAGAATATCAAACAATTTTTATTTTTCTGCAAAAGAGTCATACTGAACTTGAAATGTTAATTCTTTTTCTCTCTCCACAGATGCTGCTGGACCTACTGATTTTCTCTAGCATTTTCTGTGTTTGTTTCAGATTTCAAGCCTCCACAGTGTTTTGCTTTTAATTTTTTATTGATGATTCGATAGACAATGCATATCTCAGAACTTATTTGCATTGAAGAAAACTCTCTATATCCAGTATAGTGCGTTGTAAGTGGTTCCTTCTAGTGATTACTGGATTGCTTTGGGATGAGGTTCACTTAGCAAACTATCAGAATGATCTCAGAATTTCCAGCAAGACATTCTGTGCAAGAAATTCTATTTTTGTAAAACATTAAAATGAATGTGAAACACTTCCATTGGAACTACGTTGGGTTTATAGTAGAAACTGCAATTATATAACAATGCCTAAAGCTTTCGAGAAGATTTGTAGCTTGGGTCGTGGATGAGGTTGTAGACATGCTCGCGGAGCTGCTGGGTTTGGTTGCAAATGTTTCATCACCCTGCTAGGTAACATCGTCGATGCGCCTCCGGTGAAGCGTCAGTGTTATGTGCCGCTTGTAATTTATATGTCTCAGTTCACTGGGGTGGTTGGTATTAGTTCTGGTTCTGTTTCTCAGTGGTTTGTACACAGGGTCTAAGTCAATGTGTTTGTTGATGGAGTTCCAGTTGGAATAGCAGGTCTCCACGAACTCCGTGGCATTTCTCTGTTTGGCTTGTGCAATTACAGATGTGTTGTCCCAGTCAAATTCGTGTCCCTCGTTGTCTGTGTGTACTGAGACAAGTGAGAATTGGTCATGTCTCTTGGTGGCTAGTTGGTGTTTGTGTATCCATATTGTCAGTTTTCTTCTGGGTCTGGCCTACGTAGTGTTTCTCACAGTCCTTGCATGGTATTTTGTATATTACACCGGTTTTGGTTATGGGATCCTTTACATTCGTCAGTAGTTGTCGTAGAGTGGTTGTTGGTTTGTGGGCTACCCAGACATCTAGGGGTCTGAACAGTCTTGTGGTCATCTCTGAAATGTCCTTGATGTACGGTAAGGTGATTAGTGAGTCTGGTCGTGTTGTGTCTTCCTGTTGTGGTCTGTCTTGGAGATAATCGCGATTGTGCTTTTCGGGTATCCATTCCTTTTGAAGACTCCGTATAGTTGCTCTTGTTCTCGCTAGGTCGATGTTTACATAGACCAGACCGGAAGAGAACTGAAAATACGGATACTCAACCAACTAGCCACCAAGAGACACAACCAATTCTCACTTGTCTGAGTACACACGGACAATGAGGGACACGAATTCGACTGGGACAACACATCCATAATTGCACAAGCCAAACAGAGAAATGCCAGGGAATTCCCGGAGGCCTGGTATTCCAACTGGAACTCCAACAACAAAAACACTGAATTAGACCCGGTGTACAAACCACTGAGAAACAGAACCAGAAGTAATACCAACCACCGCAGCAAACCGAGGCATGTAAATAAAAAGCAGGACAGAACACCTGCGCTTCACTAGAGGCACACTGACGACGTTACTTAGCAGGGTGATGAAATGTTTGCAACCATACCCAACGGCTCAGCGAACATGTCTACAACCTCATACAACAATGCCCCTCAGCTACAGATCATCGATATTTGTGGAGAATATAGGTCATGAAGTACAGGAGGGATTCATGGTGAAATAACTTGGACATGGCCCCATGAGAAACTAAACTGAAATTTGATAACAATACCAAATTAAGAGTTATGGAAATCTATGAGGAAATATACAGGAGATTGGGAGAACACTGACGAGTTAATAAAGGAGACATAAACAGTTCAATACAAAAATGTTGAAGAAATGCAACTGGGAAAAAGAACAATAAAGAAATAGTTACCTAAATGGTAAGTTTTGAACACAGTAGAAAAGTCTTAGGTCTTAGAAACACAAGTATTGAGCTACGAGACAGCTTACAGAAAAAGGCCTAATTAAGCAAATGGTATTTTGATTTTTATGAGTAGTCCACTGAAGATGAAGCGAGGAATTTGAATTTGTACAAGTCACAAATTATCATACAGCTAGTATATTAAAGTTTTTGAGATCCCATTATTTTAAGAAGCACATTAGAACAATGGAAGGTTATATCAAAACTTCACTGGAATAAGAACAGAAAAAAGAAATTATCAATCGGGGAGTGGCAGATGGAGTTTAACTTAGATAAATGTGAGGTGTTGTATTTTGGCAAGGCAAATCAGGGCAGGACTTATACACTTAATGGTAAGGTCCTGGAGAGTGTTTCCAAACAAAGAGAACTTGGAGTGCAAGTTCAGAATTCCTTGAAAGTGGATCTGCAGGTAGACAGGGTGGTGAAGAAGGCATTTGGTATGTTTGCCTTCATTGGTCAGTGCACTGAGTATAGGAGTTAGGACATCATATTGCTGGTGTACAGGACACTGGTGAGGCCACTTTGAGAATACTGCGTACAATTCTGGTCACTTTTCTAAGGAAAAGATGTTAAACTTGAGAGGATGCAGAGAAGATTTACAAGGATGTTACTGGTACTGGAGGGTTTGAGCTATAGGGTGAGGCTGAATAGGCTGGGGCTTATTTCCCTGCAGAGTCAGAGGCTGAGGGGTGACCTTACATGGAAAGGATGAATAACTAAGGTCTTTTCCCCAGGTTAGGGGAGTGCAAATCTAGAGGCAATAGGTTTAAAGTGAGAAGGGAAAGATTTATAAAGGACCTGAGAGTAACTTTTTCATGCAGAGGGTGGTGCGTGTATGGAATGAGCTGCGAAAGGAAGTCTTGGAGATCGGTACAATTACAACATTTAAAAGGCATCTAGATGGGTATATGAATAGGAATGGTTTAGAGGAATATGGGCCAAATGCTGGCAAATGGGACTAAGTCAGATTGGGATGTCTGGTCAGCGTGGATGAGTTGGACCGAAGACTCTGTTTCTGAACAGGATGACTCTTTGACATAGATTGAGGATTGCCAATGGAAGATTGCAGGCTGGAGTGTGGCAAGTTGTACTGAAGTATTTTTAATGATACACTCCAGAAATGATATCTTACTCTGCATTGTAGAGTGATTTAATTCAGATTGATAGATACAGTTCTTTGCACGGTGCTTTCTTGGTCTCCACCTGGTTGATGTAAGATTGGAGTAATGAGGGAGAGCAGAAAAGAATGAGAATGGAATCCTTTACCATCAATAAAGAGGACAAGCAAAATGAATAGGATAGCCAACCTAGAGTGTCTATAAGGCTCTGGCCATTTAGAATCTTAAGGATAAGTTTACTGAGAAATGATAGAGTGGAGATAATTTTCGCCCTCAATATTTGATATACTTATACGATGGAGCAGATCACCTATTCAATGCATAATCCATTTGATTTTATCCTATCTGACAGTGAAATTGACAATAGCTCCCACAAAGGGAATGGATAGAAGGGAAGAAAAAATAAATGATTTAAAGTTCTTTAGTCACATTGATCATGTTATTTTTGAATGTTCCAGAATATCTGTAAAGAATTCCATCAGAAGATTGATAGTGTTGATGCAGAGCGTTATGACGTTGAAGTTAAAGTGTCCAAGTATGCCAAAGAGGTGAATCATTTAGATCTCTTTTTATTAAAGAAAACTGGAGCTGTAAACTTGAGGATCAAATTGAAGAGACTGAATAACATTATATTTTCTTACATTAGATTGCAAGCTTAAACCAGAGGATCTTAGATCTCAAAGGCAAATTCAAACGTCCCACCCTACGTCGGGTCAGAGTATCTGCTGACGAAATGCTGGGTGCTCTAGCAGAAAACACTTGCAAAACCTCCATGGATTTGAGATCAAATCTAAAATCAGTGAGAAAGGAAGAAGAAAAGGTTTGGAGCAGTCAATTTTTGTATTGCTGTTAATGGTGAATAGCTTTGTTATCATATTTAAGTACAAATATTTCACTTCTGATTTTTTGGGCATTCAGTTTCACTTCATACTCACAGTCACTTGTTATTTGCAATTACAACTGCGCTTTTGGAAATGGTACTGTTCAGTTTATACTGCACAGTTTTTGAAAAACATTCTGAATTATATCTTCTGTTTTACATATTTGTCAACAGGTCAATATCATGGAAAAAGTGTTGCACAGAAACTACCTACAATGAAAGGCAGGAAGGAGGCATATAAGCATCTAGAGCTGACTGATTCTCTGTCTTGTCTTCAATATTTCTTTTTTAATTTTTTTGCATCCTCTCTACATCTAGTTTTCTCTTTTTCCAAATCTCTTGTTCAGCGCTACTGATCTCAATCTTTATCATCATCCAATTTCTCTATTGTTTTCAGTCTTTCAATTCTCATTGACTCATAGACATTTGCAGCACAGAGGGAGGGCATTTGGCCCATCATAACTGCACCAGTCAACAAATATCTAATAACACTAATCCCATTTTCTATCTTTTGACTACAGACCTAAGGGCTATGGCAATGCAAATGAATATCTAAATACTGTTAAATAATATGAGAGTTTCTAATTCAAACACCCTTCAGACTCCCAACACCCGCTAAGTGAAAATATTTCACTTATGTCACTTCATGGAATTCTATTTCTGGAATTCTATTTCCATGCACCTTGTATCTAGGAAATCTCAAGTTTCTTAATTATTTAATCACTTTTTGTGTACACGTATCTTCATTATCTTCACTTTCAAAACGGAACACTGTAGCACAACAAAAGTGTGTGTAAGGAAGTCCCAAATTTCAATTCAAACATTTCAAATTTGTAGCGAGTGATATATTTAGCAATCTTAGTTTACTTTATGATGTTCCAAAGAAATAAATGTACATGCTTAGTGACTGGTACATAAACCTCAAGGACCATTATGATATCTCCATGCATCATTTTATCTGAAATTTGCATTATATTAATCTTTCATGGGTTGTGGGCATTGCTGGCTAGACCAGCATTTATTGCCCATCACTAATCACCGTTGAGAAGATGGTGAGCTGCCTTCATGAACCAGTGCATTCTATATGGTGTAAGTTTATCCACAGTGATATTGGGTAGGGGGTTCCATGATTTTGACCCAGTGACAATGAAAGAATGGCGATATAGTTCCATGTCAGGATGGTGTATCAGTTGGAGAGAAACTTGCAGGCAGTGGTGTTCTCATGTAACTGCTGCTTTTGTCCTTCCAGGTGGTAGAGGTCACAGGTTCAGAAGGTGCTGTCTCAAGAAGGAAGATGCTGTCAAAGGATATATTTAAGATATATTCTATTCTCTTCAAAGGAACACAAAGCAGTTGAAGTCCATGACTGGCGTAAGAATGTGGAAGCAATGTCTGGGATGGAAGGAAGAAAAAAGATATTTGATACCGCTGCTCCTCCTCAGTAACAGGTAAACACGCAAGAAGCAGCTAAGAAAATTCTTCTCAACCTAAATACAATAAAAATACATTCCTCCAGCATGCACCCAAAGCAGAAACCATTGAAAATACACAGCAGTTATTTGAAGGGAAAAAGCAAGTTAATATTTACAGGTATCAAATCCTGACCTTGGGGAGCTCCAGTTCTGCAAGGAACAGATCAAGGCATATAGATACATATGTGAGATTGGTAGGGCAGGCTGAAATTTGCAGCATGCTGTCATAAGGCACATGAATGACATGACCAAACAGCCAGAAGCTTGCATATTCTATTCCATCTCCTTAATCCAAAAGTGTTCATGTTCACCTATTCTTAACTTAGAGCTGCCTTTCATGTAGTGCAGTCACAGAAACTGGGGAAATGATAACGAAATCAAGGGCAATACTTATTGGAGGATACATGTTGGAAGAAGATGACATAATTGAGTTGAATGCTGCAGATAATTTGACAATGAGGAAGGCTGGATTAGAGTAGTCAATGTCACATTGAATATCATTTGTGACTTTAGTAAGGGTTATTTCAGTATGCTGGAGGGGGAAATGGGGAGCAGAAACTTGATTGAGGAAATCAATCATGGAATTACATGAGAAATTGACATGAATACAAGAGCTCGCACCATATTCAAGAAGTTTGAAGAGAAAGGGAGTTTGGACATGTGATGGTTTTTTGCAGGCAAGGTCAAGAATGAGCTGTGTGAACTAAGGGATGACAACTTTGCATTTGTTTAGTACCTTTCACATATCTCAGAATGTGGCGAAGAAATGTACAATGAATGAAGTATTCTTGAATTGTAGTTACAGTCATTATGCATTGGAATCTGCAAGTCAGCAATCTGAGAAGCAGTCAGTGATCAGATGACCATGGAACCAGAGACTGATATAGTAAGAGGAAGCTGAAAAAACATTTTTTCACACTGGCATTAAAACACTGCGATCTAGCTTGCAGGTTCCTGCCTCGAAGGGCTTTCAGGACCTGATACTTGCAGTTACATTGGGTTGGCTGCTGGTCAGTAAATTCACAGATACAGTGCATTTAGTAGAATGATTATGAGGCATAAAAGCTGCTGTTACTCAGGACAAAAACACAGGGTCTCCCCCATCTCTCAGCATATTGTACAAAAAGCAAGACAAAGTTACATTCGGCTGCCCAGACAAACATTTCAGGGATTTATACAAAAGCTGAGTTCCAAGGAAGAACAACTGAACCCAAAACATTAACTCTGATTCTCTTTCCACAGGTGCTGCCACCTGCTGAGTCTCTCCAGCATTTTCTGTTTTAATCATTTAAAGCTGACAATGGTCACTTCTTCCCAAGACTAAACTATCAAAAAAGGTGGGCCACCTTAATCTCTAACTGTTATAGCACAGGAGTAGATTACTACCTCTTTCAATCCTAGTCACCTGATTGTATCACAAAGAAACAAGAGAAAGAAAGGCACATATCTGAACATGATGGAAAGCACAATGTGAAGAGAAAGCAGGTTTCCTAAACCTTTTCCCCAGCTTCACACAAGTTGCAATTCCTTCAACTTAGAAACATATCCTGTAATATTACCTCATGTCAGATATGATTTAAAACTTACTTGATGTGGAGATCACTGATCAGGCTGGTATTTATTACCCATATACAATAAAATGAATGCAATTAACAGCCAATGGCATTGCTGTGGGTCACATATAAACCTGACTAGGTAAGGACAGCAGAATTCTTTTCCTAAAGTACACTAGTGAACCAAAATCGTTTGCTTTTACGACATCCCAACAGTTTCAAGGTCATCAATTACTAGATTTTTATTTCAGATTCACTCAGTTGGAAATTATTTAGCTGCCAGGATCAGCACAATTCACTATAACTTGGGAGATTACTATGTCTAGGGAAACAAACTGGATCTTCCTTTGGGAAAACTCTCTAAAAGAATTAGATCTGAACTTGTCTCCAGATTATTAACATGGCCACTGTTACTATACCGCCATGGAATTTAGTGCAAAGTCTTATGTTCACTTTTGAATTCTTTACATGCAGGATAACACAAAACATAAGGCTATTCCGTTTTGAAAGAACTATTCAATAAGTCTCCCTCTCTTGCTCTTTCGCACAACACTGCTTAATAAAGGATAAATTTTTAATCCAAATACCTTCCTTAGACCTACTTTCTGAAATTATTGGATAATGGTGTCACTGGTTAGGCCAGCATTTATTGCCCATCTCTAATTGCCCTCTGGGCAATTAAGGGTCAACCATATTGCCATGGTTCTGGAGTCACATATAGGCCAGACCAGATAAGGATAGCAGTTTCCTTCCCTGAAGGATATTAGTGAACTTGATGGGTACCTGTAAAGTAACAATGTAAAACCACAATGCATTTTAAAATTTTATTTTGCATTTTTCCATACGTCTGTTGAATTGCTTTCATCGCATTCCATAACAGCTGGTACATTTGAAATGACTGGTACATTGAAAAGCGAATAGACGCTCTAGGTGGTTGTCTGTGTTGAATGGTGATTGTAATGGGTTTTGCTGCTTTCCTGCAGTACCACTAACTAATGTATACACGTTACAGTAATGCAACTCATGATTTTCTTTGATTGGGTGCTTTCACATATAGTATCTATGCTAATGTGTTAGGCTGATAGTAGCAATAGACCACAAGGAGGAATTTGATTGTGGAGCAGATCTCATGATTCAGTCTTGATGAGTACACTTTTTCTTGGGCTAAAGCATTTATTGCAGTATTTATGCTGACAATAACTTGGTGCAACTCGGTTGGAAAGGTAGATTGTGCCACAGTCTCCTTGGGATGGACCAATTTGATTGCATTTAGCAGGGGATCAAGAAGTTTGCTTGTGTTTTGGCCCAGGCAATCAATGTTAAAGCCTAGGAGCTCTGTACTGTGCTTGCTGCATAATTATTTTAATTTTGAAATCAATTAGATTTAATATAATTTAATATAAATCTCATTGTTTAACAATGTTCCCTCCCACGTAACAAACTGAAATGTACAAGGCACAACACAACAGAGAATGTGGTGGTGAGGCACAATTCTGTTCATTTCCTAGATGTTACCTTAATATCACATCTCTACTGGCAGAACATGGTTCTTTTCACACTTTTTCTTTCCCAGGCACTACCATATCTTAACTTATAAGACTAAATTTAATCTGTCTAATTCTGTGTGGTTTATTTTACATAAGAAATGACATAATTATTCTGATTTTTTCCACTGATACGCTTTCAGATACAGAATCATTAGTTTGTTTCAATAGTTGCATTATATTTGTACATCATTATATGCCCATTTTTAGCTAATTTGAGAAAAAATTATATACTGTATGGTGGAATTTATTCAGTTTGTTATCACTATCTTCCATAAGTGTATATTTTTTCAATTAGGAGCTGGAAACAGTGAGGTCATAAAGGAGTTACTAAATGTCCTCAATTTCTTTAAAAAACAAATAATGGTTACATTGCAGGCTTCACCACATGGGAGCAATCTAAGGAAGCACATTGAAAGTCTGCTTTGAATTTCATTGTAGTAAGATTGCTAAGATCTAGTCTATTGATCTTAATTCAGCTCTTATAAAAGTGCTCACGCACCTATTCAAAAGCATCAGCTAAAATGTTATATTCTACAAACAGCTAAATGCTACCAAAAATTGTCACTTGCAGAAAAACGGGTGAAATGAACTGCAAAGTACGAGTGAACTCTTTGCAAATACTGTCACTGCTTTTTCATCAGGGTCCTACATTAACCTAAAAATATCTTTATGTATTCACAGCGGCTGTTTCTAAATATGGATCGCAGCTGTGAAAAAAGCAACTGGTTGTTTCTTAAACCTGCAATGGCGCCAGTCTTAGCTGGCAAACATTAATAGTTTCTTCATATTTATTCCACCAGATCTACTGATGAGAACTTGGAAAGCATTCAGTTGTCATTCACAATTTATCATAATAAATCTCAGAAAGGCAACATTTTCAAAATTAAAAATCATTTTAGAAAGTGGATGTTACATGCTCCGTAAAAGGAAAGTATATCTGAAAGACAGTATTCCAACTGAGATGTGGAACCTCCTTACAAGGCTGAATGGTATGTTCAATAAAAATAATAAGCCACTGGATGAGTCTTCTGTGTATGAATTTAAGAAACAGTGATGAAGATGGAAAACAGATGGTATTAACTCTCTCAATGCAAATAACCTTTCAAATCCCAAAATAAGTATATATGTTCCTTTCATAGAAATGAACTCATCTAGCTTTACATTGAGGAATGTACTAAAGTAAAGTTAGAAAAGTATACAGAGTCAACTTAGTTTAAAAAAAATCCTGGCAATATTTTGAAATTTGTGTTTCTCAAACTGCAAATGACATAATTAATATGGAGTAAACAACTGCTTTGGTCTTTTAGAAGAAGTTCAAATGTTTATAAAATATTCCAAAGGCCCACAGTTTGAATTTAATTAACAATCTATGTATTGGTGATATTTTAGTATAATGATTCAGAAGTCAGTTATAAAAGATAAATGTTATTGTTAGATTGTCAAGATCTCAATAATGGCAACTGGTAAATGAAGTATTTATTTTAAAAATATAAAATTGTGCAGTTCTAATAAAGTGTAAATAAAATAGATATGATCATTGTAATTTTTAAAAAAAAACTTTATTAAATGAATGCCACAGGGATACATTGAATTGACTCATTGCACATTTTGTGGTTTGCAAGTCCACGAAATTATGCGTGAAACTGAGTTATGAATGCTAAGAGATTATTAGTTACAAGGACAAAGGTGAACAGATAGAGGTTATCAAGTAGGCAAAAACTTTTTTTTGTCATGGGAACTAGTAGTTCTAAGGTGTATGAAGAGAATGGAAATCAGGAAAGCTATTAACTCACCTCGACTCCAGTCTAGCAATAAAAAATGGCAAATAAACTCATGACCAAACCAGTAAAGGGATTGCTGCAGTTTATGGATATATCCCCATGGGATAGGTAGACACAAGTTTCACCTGATACTGGGCCTCAATTCTGATTTATTTGAGACCAGCAGGCTAATTAAGAATACTGAGCAGACATCTGCAGCTTGCCAATGAAAGACATTTCAATTTCTGTTAACTACTGGACACACAGGTAAGTCTTGCAAGTATATAGGGGACACAGCTTTGGGAGAGGGATGACTAGAAGGTGGACTGTAAATGTCCAAGGATTTGAGGATGCTGAAAAGCTGAAAGAATTCTTCTTGGGGATATAACAGACCTACTGTGGGATTTTGGCTCTCCTTGAACCTCCTGCTGCACGTGTTCAAGCTTCTATATCTTCTGCCTGATGGAAGAGGTTGTAGGAAAGCATTGCCGTAGTGTGATGGGTCTTTGATAATGTTGGCAGCCTTTCTGTGGCAATGGGCCATGTAAATGGAGTCCATGGATGGAAGGCTGGCTTCCATGATGTTCTGGGCTATGCACACAACCTTCTGCAGTTTCTTATGGTCTTGGGCAGAGCAGTTGCCATTATGCACCCGGACAATATGCTTTCAACAGTGCATCTGTAAAAGTTGGTGAGGGACCATATGGACATGCCAAATTTCCTGAACCACCCGAAAAAGAAGAGGCGCTGTTGTGTCTTCTTGACTGTCACATCTATGTGGGGAGTCCAGGACAGGTTGTCATTATTGTTACACCTAGGAACTTGATGCTCTCCACCCTCTCAACCTCAGCTCCGTTGATGTAGATAGGGGGGTGTTCTCCTCCCTTCTTTCTGAAATCAATGATCAGTTCTTTAGTTTTGCCAATATTGAGACAGAGGTTGTTATCATTGCACCACATCAACAAGCCCTCTATCTCCTTTCTGTATCCTGACTTGTCATTGTTTGATATCCATCTTACTACGATGGTGTTATAAGCAAACTTGTAGATGGCGCTCAAAAACAGAAGTTGCTGGAAAAGCTCAGCGGGTCTGGCATTATCTGTGAAGAAAAAATTAGAGTTAACATTTCGGATCCAGTGGCCCTTCCTCCAAACTGTAGATGGTGCTAGTTCGGAATTTGGCAACACAGTCATGGGTGTACAACAGGGGACTGAGACCACATCCTTGAGGGGGTGTTCCAGTGCTAAGTCTTATTGTGGAGCAGGTGCAGTTGTCTATGTTCACTGATTGCAGTCTGTGGGTCAGAAAGCTGAGGATCCAGCTCCAAGAGTGGAGCCGAGACCTAAGTCCCAGAGTTTTGAGAACAGTCTGGAGGGGATAATGGTATTGAAGGCGGAGCTGCAGTCAATGTGCAGGTGTCTGATGTAGGTGTCCTTGTTGTCCAGATGTTCCAGGCATGAGTGCAAGGCTAGGGAAATGGCATCCGCTGTGGACATGTTACATTCAGAGGCAAGCTGGGAGACTAGAGTTGATATGGGCCATGACCAGTCTCCCGAAGCACTTCATGATCAAGGAAATAGGAGGGGAAGTTGACATGGCTGGCAATTGGAAAGTGGCATTGACTGGAGCATACAGAGTGCAGATGCTCTGCCAATCGGTTACCAAGTCTGCGATGTAGAGGAGACCACCAGTCTCCAAATCCAACGCATCATCCTCTGCCATTTTCGCAGAATGCAATCAGACACGACCACCAAAGAGATATTTCCTTCCCATCCCTATCTGTTTTCTGTATGAACACTCACTCTGCGACTCCCTTGTCCACTCCACACTCCACATCAATACTTCCATCACACCCAGCACCTTTCCCTGCAACTGCACCTCCTCTCTCACCTCCGTCCAAGGCCCCAAACAATCATTCCAAATCCAACAGGGATTCACCTGTACGTCTTCCAACCTGGTCTATTGTATCCATTAATCCCAATTTGGACTCCTCTACATCGGAGAGACTAAGTCCAGACTCGGTGACCAATTTGTGGAGAATCCACGCTCTGTACGCTCCAATCAACACCACCTTCCTGTTGCCAGCCACTTCAACTCCCCCTCCCATTCCCTTGGTGACATGCCTCCTTCTCTGTCACAATGAGGCCACATGCAAACTGAAGGAACCACACCTTATATTTCACCTCGGGAGCTACAGCCCAATGGCCTCAACATAGAATTCACCGGCTTCAAAATCTCCCCACCCCGGCCTCACCCTATGTCCAGTCCTCCCTCTCATCCGGGCTTGTCCATTTTCCTTCTTACCTGTCCGCCCCACCCTTCCCATTGACCAATGTCTACAACCCCCCACCTGCATCCACCTATCACCATCCCACCTACCTTTCCCCAGCCCCACCCCTCTCTCTCTACTTATTTGAGCTCCCATCCCCCTCCCCAGTCCTGATGAAGGGCCCTGACCTGAAATGTCGACTTTTCTGCTCCTCAGATGTTGTCTGACCTGCTGTGCTCCTCCAGCTACACATTTTATCGACTCCAACATCCTGGTAAACCTTTCCTGTACCCTCTCCAAAGCACCTACACCCTACTGATAGTGTGGTGACCAGAACCATATGCAATATTCCAAGTGTGGCCTGACTAAAGTTCTATAAAGCTGCGCATGATGGTGGTGGTGTACTCGTCTAGGATTTCCGCTGAGAACTTGAATATGGTCCAGTCAACCAATTCCAAGCAGTCCTGAAGATGGTCTTCTGCTGCCTTGGATTGTACTGCCTGCATTGTACTTCTTTTTGTGAAGGACCCTCTCGTTTCAGCTTCTGCTTGTAAGCTGGGAGGTGGAACACAGTGCTGTGATCTGATTTTCCAAAGTGTGGGCACGGGATGGAGCGGTAGGTGTCTTTTATGGTTGTGTAGCAGTGGTCGGGGATGCAGGTCCTCCAGTGGGGCAGGAGATGTGTTGGTGGTACTCAAGAGGGTGCTGCCAACAGACAACAGCAACAGCAGCATAATTAGATGTAGAAATGTTTTCCTGTGATGAAGATCTGAACACTGCAGGGAAAGAGAAAGACCTCAATATCCTGAAATCTCAGCTGCTGTCAGTTACACCTCACTGCCTTTTAAAGATGGATGGAGCTATGGCAATGTTGCAGGACACTCAGCCAAAGGTGAAAGAATTGCCATTGTTGCAATGAACAACCACAAAGGCTAGACATTCTAACAATTAAACAGACTGTAGCTGAAGAGGAGTTCTGTCATACATGAACGTGACTGAAGCTTCAAAATTTTCTACAGGCAAGAGGATAGCCACAATATTTAAGAAGTCTCAAATTATAGAGTTAGAATGGAATTTTTGACCATGGAAAGCTCAGAGCTTTGTAACAGGTTAATGAGCACTGAAGCTTCAGACTGGGTAGATGGTACCCTCACCGTTCCTAGTAGAAACTAGTGAGAAGTTGCCGAAGGAAAAGGATATGCTTGAGGCCAAATTAGATCAAGCATACATTGAAGGATCGGAAATCATTAACCTATACAAATGGCAACTAAAGTTCTCTTTCAGTAAAACAGGAGAGGTGAAACTTACAGAGCTTCATGAGCTGAAAACCATCTTAGAAAAGTTTAAAGCCAACCATCAAATGGCTCTTGAACTTATTAAAATTAAGCAACAGTTGGAGACATCTAACTATCTAAAAGAGACTGCTAAACCTAAAATCTAATGATTAGTAATCACACACCGCCTTCGAACCATAGGAAGGGATTCACACATTACAAACTGACCCACACAAGGAAGTGAACATATTGCAGTCTAGAGTGTAAAAATGCTATACTACACTTAAAGATATAACAAGACTATCAGACAGATGTGGTGGCTGCACAGCAACAATCTGAGGAAGCACCAAGGCTGACTACCCTTCCTATTGACAGTGAGGTTCTTGTGGAAATTAATTTAGAATATCTGGTCAGCATGGATGAATTGGACCAAAGGGTCTGTTTCCATGCTGTACAACTCTATGACTCTATATTTGGGTGGTATGGTGGCACAGTGGTTAGCGCCAGGGACCCAGATTCGATTCCAGCCTTGGGCAACTGTTTGTGTGGAGTTTGCACATTCTTCCCATTTCTATGTGGGCATCCTCCAGGTGCTCCAGTTTCTTCCCACAGACCAAAGATGTGTAGGTTAGGTGGATGGACCATACTAAATTGTCCATGGTGTCCAGGGATGTGCAGGCTAGGTGGATTAGCCATGGGAAATGCAGGGTTGCAGGGATGGATGGGTCTGGATGGGATGCTCTTCGGAGGGTCAGTGTGGACACAATGGGCCAAATGGCTACTTTCACACTGTAGGGATTCTGTGATATGCAATGCTGATGTTGAGCTTTCAGACAAGTACATTGGAGTACTATTCAGGAGCTTCCTAGAAATCCTAATCCTGATTCAGGTGTCCAGAAGGGTCTCATTTCCTTAAATCTTCAAATTAATTCTGTCGTTGATGATGGTATAGTCCTACTTTCAGATGGAGATCCTGAACTGTCATTATTTGCAGCGAAGCAACATCAACCTGAATCAAAGATGGAAATGATACCACTACCTACAAAAAGAGAAATTCCTATTCTAGGTTTATTAGGGAAGTTCTTATTTCCTCATCTCTGGAATTGTCTTTGTTCTTTTATTTTGTCTACTAGATTTGTCAGTGGAAATAGTGTTAAATGATTCTTTTGTTGTCACAGCCGCTGCAGAGGACACAACTGTGGTTTTCTCTATGAGCTGAAGGTGTTTCATTTATTCAACTGTTAATATTCCCCCATGTGCAATGTAGACGTAGCAAAGAATACAGATTTCAGGTCATTATCTTTGCCTTCCAGGGTTTGGAGGTTTACCTTTTGAATCAGTTTTTTCTTAGTTGGTTTTCACTGCCATTACATTCATGTCATCACAAGTGTCACGAGAAACTGCCATCTCACTCACCAATGTGTCTTCTAAGGAAATAATAAGAAATCACATATATCCTACATGCACTCCAAGAAATCCAAGGAAAGTGCTGGAGATTGACACCTCAGGCAACAGAAACCTGGGGAGTAGGGGCTGAATTGGACAGAAATTGTAAATAGTTAATGAGGTTAACAACTTGCAGTAACAAGGTCTCATGACATCAGGTCAAATGTGGGCAAGGCAACCTCGTGCTGATTATCACACACTGCTGATAAATCAGCACTCGTCTATTTGAACATGACTTGGATGAACAACTGAGGGTGGCAAGTGTGCAGGACGTGCTCTGGGTTGGGGACTACTATGTCCAAAAGCATAAGTAGTTTAGCTGCACCACTACTGACCAAGCTGTCCTAAAGGACATAACTGAGTCCACAGCAGGTGGTGAGGGAGAAATATACTTGACGCCATCCTAATCAATCTGCCCTCTGTAGATGCATCTATGACAGTATCAGTAAAAGTGATGACCCCATAGTCTTTGTGGACACAAAATCCCATCTTCACATTGACAGTATGCTGCATCATTTTGTGTGGCACTATCACTGTGCTCAAGGGGATACAGTTTGAGTACATCTAACAACTCAAGACTGGGCACCCACAAGACACTGTGTACCATCAGCATCAGCCAAATTGTACTTTGACACAGTCTGCATATGGCCCAGCATATCCCCCATTCTTTCATCACCATCAAGCCAGGGATCAACCCTCGTTCAATGAAGAATGCAGGAGGGCATGCCCAGGAGCAGTTACAAAAGAAGACCAGTTACATGCCAAACAGCATAAGCAGCATGTGATAGGCAGAACTAAGTGAGACCACAATGAACAAATCAAATTCAAGCTCTGCAGTCCTGCCAATTAAAGAACTGGGGAAGGAGGATCCGCAAATATCCACCTTAAAGACAGTAGACTCCAATACATCAGGCAAAAAATTTACAACAGTCTTCAGTCAGAAGTACTGACTGGATGACTCATCTTGGCCTCATCTAGAGATCTCAGATATCGTCTTCAGCCCCATTAATTCACCCAGGGTGATATAAAGAAATAGTTGGCGACACAGGATATTGCAAAAGCCCTGACAACATTTGTTAATAGTGTTGAAGACGTGCAGTCCAGAATTTGTGACACCCCAGGCAAGCTGTTCCTGTATTGCTGCAACATCCAGGATCAATGTGGAAAATTGCCCAGAAATGTCCCGTACACAAAAAGCAGGTCAAATCCAACCAAGACAACAAGGTGCAGAGCTGGATGAACACAGCAGGCCAAGCAGCATCATAGGAGCAGGAAGGCTGACGTTTCGGGCCTAGACCCTTCATCAGAAATGGGGGAGGGGAAGGAGGTTCTGAAATAAATAGGGAGAGAGGGGGAGGCGGATAGAAGATGGATAGAGGAGAAGATAGGTGGAGAGGAAACAGACAGGTCGAAGAGGCGGGGATGGAGCCAGTAAAGGTGAGTGTAGGTGGGGAGTTAGGGAGGGGATAGGTCAGTCCAGGGAGGACGGACAGGTCAAGGTGGCGGGATGAGGTTAGTAGGTAGGAGATGGGGGTGCGGCTTGAGGTGGGAGGAAGGACAGGTTAGGGAGGCGGGGACGAGCTGGGCTGGTTTTGGGATGCAGTAGGGGGAGGGGAGATTTTGAAGCTTGTGAAATCCACATTGATACCATTGGGCTGCAGGGTTCCCAAGCGGAATATGAGGTGCTGCTCCTGCAACCTTCGGGTGGCATCGTTGTGGCACTGCAGGAGGCCCAGGATGGACATGTCTTCTGAGGAATGGGAGGGGGAGTTGAAATGGTTCGCGACTGGGAGGTGCAGTTGTTTATTGCGAACCGAGCGTAGGTATTCTGCAAAGCGATCCCCGAGCCTCCCACTCACGGCCTCCAACCTCATCGTTCCCCAACCTCACACTGCCCGCTTCTATCTCCTTCCCAAAATCCACAAACCTGAATGCCCTGGTCGACCCATTGTCTCCGCCTGCTCCTGCCCCACCGAACTGATCTCCAACTATCTAGACTCCATTTTCTCCCCCTTGGTCCAGGAACTCCCTACCTATGTCCGTGACACCACCCACGCCCTCCACCTCCTCCAGAACTTCCAATTCCCCAGTCCCCAACACCTCATCTTTACCATGGACGTCCAGTCCCTCTACACCTGCATTCCCCATGCAGATGGCCTTAAGGCCCTCCGTTTCTTCCTGTCCCGCAGGCCCGACCAGTCCCCCTCCACTGATACCCTCATCCGCTTAGCCGAACTCGTCCTCACACTCAACAACTTCTCTTTCAATTCCTCCCACTTCCTACAGACAAAGGGGGTAGCCATGGGTACCCGCATGGGCCCAAGCCACGCCTGCCTCTTTGTAGGTTACGTGGAACAATCCCTCTTCCGTACCTACACCGGCCCTAAACCCCACCTCTTCCTCCGTTACATTGATGACTGTATCGGCGCCGCCTCGTGCTCCCACGAGGAGCTCGAACAGTTCATACACTTCACTAACACCTTCCACCCCAACCTTAAGTTTACCTGGACCATCTCTAACACCTCTCTCCCCTTCCTGGACCTCTCTGTCTCCATATCGGGCAACCACCTAGAAACCGATATTCATTTCAAGCCCACCGACTCCCACAGCTACCTAGAATACTCCTCCTCCCACCCACCTTCCTGCAAAAATGCTATCCCCTATTCCCAATTCCTTCGCCTCCGCCGCATCTGCTCCCAGGATGAGGCATTCCACTCCCGTACATCTCAGTTGTCCTCGTTTTTCAAGGACCGTAACTTCCCCTCCTCGGTGGTCGAGAACGCCCTCAACCGTGTCTCCCACATCTCCCGCACCTCATCCCTCACACCCCGTCCACGCAATAAAAACCAAAAAAGAATCCCCCTCGTCCTCACATACCACCCCACCAACCTCCGGATCCAACGCATCATCCTCCGACACTTCCGCCATCTGCAATCCGACCCCACCACCAAAGACATCTTTCCCTCCCCACCCTTATCTGCTTTCCGGAGGGACAACTCTCTCCGTGACTCCCTTGTCCGCTCCACACTCCCCTCCAGCTCCACCACACCCGGCACTTTTCCCTGCAACCGCAGGAAGTGCTACACCTGCCCCCATACCTCCTCCCTCACCCCCATCCCAGGCCCCAAGAAGACTTTCCACATCAAGCAGATGTTCACCTGCACATCTGCCAATGTGGTATACTGCATCCGCTGTACCCGGTGTGGCTTCCTCTACATCGGGGAAACCAAGCGGAGACTCGGGGACCGCTTTGCAGAACACCTACGCTCGGTTCGCAACAAACAACTGCACCTCCCAGTCGCGAACCATTTCAACTCCCCCTCCCATTCCTCAGATGACATGTCCATCCTGGGCCTCCTGCAGTGCCACAACGATGCCACCCGAAGGTTGCAGGAACAGCAACTCATATTCCGCTTGGGAACCCTGCAGCCCAATGGTATCAATGTGGATTTCACAAGTTTCAAAATCTCCCCTCCCCCTACCGCATCCCAAAACCAGTCCAGCTCGTCCCTGCCTCCCTAACCTGTTCTTCCTCCCACCTATCCCCTCCTCCCACCTCAAGCCGCACCTCCATCTCCTACCGACCAACCTCATCCCGCCCCCTTGACCTGTCCCCTGTATGGGGAATGCAGGCTTGATTAATGAAGTTCATTAAAAAAACCGAACAGTGTGGGAGCAGGCCAATTGGCCCATCGGCTCCGCACCCATCCTCTGAAGAGCATCCCACCCAGACCCAATACCCTATCCCTGTAACTGTGCATGTCCCATCGTGAATCCACCTAGACACTATGGGCATTTAGCACAGCCAATCTACCTAAACTGCACATCTTTGGGACTGCAGGAGGAAACCATAGCACACAGAGCTGGGGAGAATGTGCACAGAGGCAGTCACCCGAAGCTGTAATCGAACCTGGGATCCTAGTGCTGTGAGCCAGCAGCGCCAGCCACTCAGCCACCCAGTTCTGAACAAAAACAAAGTTGCTGGAAAAGCTCAGCAGGTCTGGCAGCATCTGTGGAACTGAGGAAGGGTCACCGGACCTGAAACATTAACTCTGATTTCTCT